AATTTAGGGCCTGCAGGACCCCTCCTCGGCATGTTAGTGCCACCCCAGCTGCCAGCTCCGGTCCTTCCCACCAATCCCTGCTCCTTTCTGCACGCAGCAGTGCAGATTTTGTTGTGTTCTGTTGCCTGGAGTGGGGAAAAGAAAAAAGACTGAACAGAGAAGAGGCAAAATGTGGATTAAAAATAGTTAATGAAAAAAATGTGACTGCAAGCCCTGATCAGTGCAGGGCTGAGACCAGCCACCCAGCGCAGCGCTGCTCCGTGCCCCTCGCTGTGCCAGGCGGAGGCAAAGGCAGGGTCTGGGCAAGCTGGATGCACGGGAGATGGGCTGGCTGCTCCGCTCCGTCCCCCTGTGCTCCTCCATTGCATCCTGCCCTGTCCTGCGTCCCCCACGGCCAGAGTCCCCGTCCGTGTCTGTCTGCCCCAGCCCAGGGGGTCTGGGGAACTTGGCTGTGAGTAGCAGGTGCCAGTGGACGGCTGGGCACCAGTGGTGGCTGGCCGTGCCCGGGTGCTGCGGGTGCCTCGGGACAGGGAGGGACCCTGCCAGGACCCCTTCAGGACGGGCTGCTGTGTGCAATGATGTCGCTTGCCCATCTGCACCTTGGCAGGGCAGGGTTTGAGCTCACTCCTTGGTGAGGTACCGGGAGGTTGTCCGGAGCTCCGGGATGACCACAGCATTCATTCGTGACACGAGCTGCTCTGGGGAGGCGGGTGCTGAGCTCCCAGGGCAGGCGCGCGTGCACACACGCCTGTCTGCACTGACCTTTTCCTAGGCTTTTCCCAGTCCTGTGCTTCCCCTGCGACACGGTAACCACACGTGTCATGCCGTGTCTCTTGTGCCGACCTCCTATATTTCATGGGTTTTCATGCAATGTGATGAACAAGAAAAACCCAATTCCCTGAGCCAGGACCAAGGTGCCGCGTGGCTCAGCATCCCCTCACTAGAGCCTGCCAGGCATTCAACCACTGCCTGGCTGCCTGGCCATGCTTGCAGCCCACGCTCCCTCTCTGGTCCTCGGCAGCTGGGGAAGATGCCCTTGACCATCCCTTTCAGTAGCAGGGCAGTCGTGGAGGTGATGCAAAGAGTGTTCGTCCTGACGGCACAGGGCCCAGTGCCGTTTGTTTGCATCCTATGTTGCTGGTGATGAAAACACCGTCAGTGTTGGTTTAGGTTTTCTTTGTCCAAAGTGACACAGAATCTGACGTTGTCGGTGCCTGGTGATGTCGGCTCTCTCCGTGTTTCCACAATCATGTAGTTCCGTGCAAATGAGCTACAGTCTTGCAGCACGAGGGCTGCGCCAGGCAGTTCAGCTGCTCCTCCGCTGCCCACCTTCCTTGTATTCGCTTCATGGGGGGGGGGACTGGAGCAGTTGTGGGTTGCAGGTGGGGAGCGGGAGGCACCCCCGAGCTTGGGGCAGGGACACAAGCGGGGACAGCACAGGGTGCAGGCCAGACCTCCTGGGCCTCCCCACCGTGGCCATCTCCCCCCACCGCTTGTCCTGCTTGCCTGGGTGGAAAGTGGAGCAGCGTCTGCAGGGCCAGGCTCGTGCTGGCATTGCATCAGCTCTGGCCCTGCACCGTCCCCTCCCCTGCCAAGTGCCGAAGCCCCTGCCGTGCTGGCTTGTAGCTCTGAGCTCAAAGCCAAGCCAGCCGTGGAAAGCGCTGCATTAGCGCACTGGGGGCTAATCCCTGCGTCTGGAGGGCCCGCAGCCCCCACCGCCGCCTCCTGAGCAAGTGGTGCTGTGCTGGGCGCTGGGCTGCGGTGGGCTGTGCCAGCCTCTCAGTGCTTGTATGGGGCCGTGGTTGTGCCAGGGTGCTCCCGGGTCACGTTGCAGATGCCCATGAGTGTCCCTGTGGAGGCTTCACCGAGCCACTGATCCATGTAGCAATCGGCTGCAGCGATCCCAGATGTGGAGCTCGTTCCCTCACACGTGTGGTGGCAGCCAGAGCCGGGCGCTGGGCAGGGCGGCAAAATCCCCGGGGGAAGCCAACCTGGGTGGGAGGAGGAGAGCATTGCTCCCTGGGGCAGGGTGGGTGCTCAGCCGGCCGTGGGGGTCTGTGCAGGCACAGAGCTGCTGCAGGGCAAAAGTGGGGGGCAAAATCCCCACACAAGCCTTTTCCCATCCACTCCCTGTGGCTTGGTGCGATGCCACAGTGGTGGCAGCAGCCTTGGGGCTGGTGGCTGCCAGGCCCTGAGCTGCTGGGAGGGCGCAGGTCCAGGGGCTGCAGAGAAGCTGGTCTGGGGGGAGAAGGGGTCCGCTGCAGGGGTTGGGACCGCTGGCTCGGGAAGGGCTCAGCGCACCAACGCGGGCGCCAGTGACTGCCCTGCTCCCCCCACCCCAAGGGTAGATGATGGTGCTTGGGTCTGACACCTCTGGCTCCCCCGGCACCGGGACCACCAGCATTGACCCCTTCCCCATGTGGGCACAGCCGTCCCGGGGCTGGTTCCTCTTTCCTCCTCTCCCATCGCGGGTGCGAGGGCTCCCTCACTAGCGGAGCAGCACCGGGTGTTTGTAGCCCGGCCTCCACAGGGGTCAGCAGCCGCAGAGCCATGACACAGGAACATGCCGCGTTGCCCAATGCCAGCTTGGGTCAAAAGTCCCCCCTGTGCCCACTGCGGCGTGCCGCAGCCCCAGCAGATGCACCCGCTTGCATGCGGGGCACCCTCCGCCCGGTGCCCATGGCTCAACGTGGTGCAGGATCCCCCAAAGCCTGGCCCCGGCTGGGGGTGAGGTGCTGGGGCAGGGGAGTGTGGCACCGGGAGCCAGTCAGGCATGTCAGGGTGAGGGGAGGTGGTGACGTGGAGCTGGGTCCCTCCTGCGGTGCTGCCTCTGGCAGCAGTGGACATGGCAGAGAGGGGATCCAAGCACCGGTGGCCATGGCACGTCCAGCCAGCAGCGACCGCTGCTCCGAGCACTGCAGGCACTCACGCTGGGCAGTGCCAGCTCCCAGGGAGGTGCTCAGCACTGCCGGTGGTCCGAGCTCCCCCAGACCCCGCCATCCCGGCCGCGCAGGGCCACTGCTCCTTCCCTGCCGCTGCCCGTCTGCACTGAACCACAGGCAACTGGTCCACAGCTACTCCTGCACGCCCACGTGTCTGCTAGAAATAGCCTGTGTCTCCGAGAGCGCACCGTGGGATGGCCGAGCTGCCGGGGGTCCCTCGCACCGTGGGGAGTGGGGGGCCAGCACGGCACTGCGGCTGCACGGCACCGCGGGCAGCTGGGGCAAAGGGCCTGGGCAGGGCCCCGCTGTGAAGCGGGGAGCCCCATGCTGGAGGTGAGGAGCGTGACTGTCCCTGTGTGCCAGGACCCCTCACCCAGTGCAGTCTGCCCAGCTTGGCTGCGGCAGGGCCCCGGGGCCGGGGGAGCAGCTGCCAGCCCAGGGGGGAGTCTAGGTGGGGCGGGCCCCCCCCCGCCGCTAAATCCCATTGCAGGCAACTAAAAATAGAGACACCTCTGCCCCAAAGCTGCCTCCCCAGGCTGCGGAGAGGGGCTGGCAGCGAGTTCCCTGCCGACCCGCAGTGCCCGGGAGGAGTGTTTTCTCCCAGGGCAGGGATGCTCGGGGCAGGGGCCGGGCACTGGGAGGTTCCCACGGGGCCGGGGCCATGGGCGGCGGGATGGGGCAGGTGGGGATGCTGGCAGCGGGCTGGCAGGGGGACAGGGACAGGGATGCCGGCATGGGGCTGCTGGGGACACAAGGACAGGGGATGTTGGCATGGGTCTGGCAGGGGGATGAGGACGGGGATGAGGACAGGGATGCTGGTGTGGGCAGGTGGCTGGCAGGCACCCACCGAAGGTCCCTGTTCCCATAGCCCACCCAGTGCAGTCTGTCCCAGGAGACAGTTCCTTCTGTCCTGGGACTGTCTAAATAGGGCGCGCGCCGGCGGGCCCGCCCCCCGGAGCCACATCTGGAGCCCCACACACTGATTAATGAGCTTCTCAGGCAGCCGCTTGCGACATGGCGAGTGGTCTGCATGGAGGAAACACGACTTTCCCAGGGATAAAAATAGGCATGGGCAGAGCGGTGAGCCCTGGGAGCAGTGGCTGGTTGGAGAGCGCGGCGCTCCGGCTGGTGCCCGGGGGGAGGCCGGGGCGGGGGGGTGATGCCGCAGCGCCTGTGGTGGCACCGGCACTGCTGTCTGTTCTGTTCCCATCCCTTCCCCAGCGGAAGAGCTGAAATCCCGCTCAGGAGCCCTGTAACCGGCTTAGGGGGATGGAGGGAATTACGGCGCCTCGTGAGCCGGGCTTTGCAGGGAGCTCCTGGGTGCCGTGTCAGACAAGGTGCCATGTCGCTTGCCTGGGCTGGGGGTGATGGAGCTGTGGCAGTGCAGCCAGGCTGAGCCAGTCCAGGGGCCATGGCAGCCCCGCAAGCCGGGGATCCCTGCAGGTTAATGGTTAACCACCCTGGGGCTGGCAGCCATCCCTGCCAGCTCCCTGTCCACTTCATCCCCAGGTGGGTGCTTGCGGCTGGGCAGACTGTGGGGCCAGGGACGGGGCCAGGATGCTCTGAGAGCCACCCCGCGGGGCCGTCCCGGGGGCCTGGCCACCTCCACTGCTGGACGTGGATCTGCCACGAGCAGTGGCATGGAGGCAGTGGGGAGGCAGCCCGGGTGCCAGCCCCTGCCCTGAGAAGATGCTCAGGCATGAGGAGGGGTCCTGGCTGCCGCCGGGGTCCTGGGCTCTCAGGGCTCAGCACCGACACAGTGCCAGGCACAAGCACCAGTGTGGGTGGCCCCAGCCCGGGTCTGTGCGCAGCGGGGTTCCGAAGGCAGCGTTGCCCTGGGGAGGCGCAAGGGTCTGCCCTGTGCAGGGGTGATGTCCCATGCATGGTTGCACTCCAGCCACGCAGGGGCTGGGGGTTTTGGCTTGGCCGGCAGAGGGGTGGCATGGCCGCAGTTCCGATGCTGTCCTGGGGAGGAAATGGCAGGTACGCAGCCTCCCGGGAAAACGCACAAAAAAACAGCTGAATGTTAAAGCCAGGCAGGGTCAGGCAAGGATGGGGACAGGAGTGTGGTGCCGTGATGGGGGCTGGCTCTGTGCCGGGGCGGCCTCCCCTCCTGCACCCACCTGTGCCCGGCCGCACAGCCCCGGCTCTGCCCTGGGACGGGTCCTGCCACCTGCATCCCTGTGACCTGGCGTCTCATGCAGGGTCACCCACACGCCAGGGCCCTCGCCGCCAGGGCAGAGGAGCTGCCCAGGGCTGGTAGGAAGCCAGGCACCCCACACTGCTCCCCATGCGGCTCGCGGCCTGGCGGAGGGATGTCCCAGCTGCGTCTCCTCAGCCTCCTGCTGCTGCTGCTCTGCTGCCAGGTAAGTATGGGCCATCCCGCGTGATGGTGCTCTGCCCCGCAACCAGCCTGCTGCATGCCCCCGAGCTGCCGCTGATCCGCCCCTGCCCGCGGCAGCCCCTTGCCATGGCATGCTGTGCAGCGGCCGCTGCCCTTTCTTGCTTGCCCTGCATGGCACAGCACGGCATAGCATGGCACTGCATGGCACGGCATAGCATGGCACTGCACGGTGTGTTAGCCCACACTCACCCATGGCCATCCCCAAGCCGGGGTTGCTGCCCTGCCTGGCATGGCAGCCCCCATGGGCAGGGCGCGGGTGACACTCCCCGGTGCCTCCAGGGCCCCTTCGCCCAGATCACGGATTTTGTCTTCGAGAGCTGGAAGGCGTACAGTGAGGAGTGCCACCGCAACATGAGCCACCTGCCCGCGCCCACAGGTGAGAGCTGGCGCGGGGTCCCAGCAGGCTGGGGACCAGGGGGAGCGGGGCTGGTGTGGGGCCTGGCACCTGGCTCCCTGCATGGGTGATGCCGAGGGCACCGCCACGTCCCGTCCCTCCACAGAGCTGGTCTGCAACCGCACCTTCGACAAGTTCTCCTGCTGGCCTGACACACCGCCCAACAGCACCGCCAGCGTCCCCTGCCCCTGGTTCCTGCCCTGGTACCAGAAAGGTAACGGCTGGGTGGGCGAGTGCGTGTGTGTGTGCACACGTGTGCGTGTGCACAGGTATGTGTGCAGGTGCTGCTCCAGGCAGTCACGCCTGGGGCCGATGCACAGCGCCAGCGGTGGCTCTGGGGCCCAGCACACCCCATCGCCCTCCTCCCCTTGCAGTGAAGCACAGACATGTCTTCAAGACCTGCGGGCCGGACGGGCAGTGGCTCACGGGCCCCCGGGGACAGTCCCTGCGCGATGCCACGCAGTGTGAGCTCGACACTGAGGACCTGGAGGCGCAGGTGAGCAGAACTGGGGGGCGGCCATTGCAGGGCTCCCTGCCCTGCCCCTGCCCTTGCCCTA